ATGAAATAATTACATATATAAGCTTGCTAGTTTATCAGTGAAAATTATTTCTAATTAATTTCAGGCTATTTATAACAGCATACAGATTTGAACTTCAACTTTAAATCGTCAGTTATTTTGTGAAAAAATAAATAAACCATGTATGCATATACATGTTGTACCTCTTATTTATTTATAAGAAATTTCGACTTAATCGACGGGGAAAACAACAGTATCCCATTGGCGACACACCAAACGTAGGCATATACATAAGCACCCAAGAAAGTTACATATCTAACTAACCTAGCGCGTTACTATTCGTGCTATTCTTCCTTTCATACTCACCCAAAGCAAGAAAACCCTATCAACGTTATCTTCAAAAATAAGAAGTTCACTCAAGATAACTCTCATGGCTATCAAATGTCCCCACAACAATATGAAGAATATCAACTGAATATGCGAACCCAATGGCAAAGGTTGGTATTCCTTATGTCCAAATGACACCGCGCCATCATTACCTTTCAAGAATTCATACAATATCCTCTGATAATTATCGACACGTGTCCAAAACTCATAAATTCCACACTCTTGCATACATTTCCCGACATTTTGTAACTCCCTTGACAAAAAATGGTGGGATACAAAGTGTAATTCAAAATTTTGAAATTTATCTTTATCTCCTTTCTCAATTAAAAAAACATCCCGTAGTATCATGCATCGTGTCGAAAAATTTTCCCCCTCTCTTCAAATGCAGGAGACTTTCTTATATGTCAAAGATATCGAATGCTTTCAACTTGGTCATTACCTCATAGTGGGAAACCGAATTGTAAATAAAATTCCCCAGGATAGTGTAAGAGTTTCCCGTTTCATCCGTTTTGTACGGAGATGTAAAATTTCTTCCAATTTTTTCAAAGTATTTCTGAAAGAAGCGAGAATGTATGTCAATCCATTGAGGATGCTGAATGCTGACCAACATTCTGAAACCGTTATCAAAAAGGCTCTCTTCACTAAAAAACCGCTGGCCTGAAGGGCTCGTTAAAAAGTCGCTTGTTACGATACCCAAGTACAGGTTGGTTATAAAAGCTAAGTTTAGTGCGGTAATGGTTACCAGCTTTTCGTTCTTTTTCAGGCAGGAAGATAGGTAACCAGTGAATTGTAGGAGGAATGCAATCGTGTCCAAAATAGTAACCAGGGTCGTTTTACCACCTCGGTAATAATTTAGGATAGCCACCATGCAACATGTAAACAGGATAGTGTACCAAATTCCGGGATTGAACGGGTCCAAAAATATGCTCCATCTTGCCTCAAAGCCCCACACTCTGGCTACACAGTAATAAAATGCGGGTATATTATGCGGGTAGTAGGACAACTCGGCATGTACACAGTCCAACCATAAGTTCTCGTGAATGCATTTCCGGTGATAGATCGCAAAGTACTAAAGCTATCTGATAGAAATTTTTGTGGATGAACAAGGTATTAATATTGTTTATAAATCATAACTTCTTTTTCACAATTTCCTCCTCGGGCATGTACACAACGCATAAGCCGTGGCGGAAACTGCTCGATAGCGGCACGCGCGGATTTCGTGGGAAAAGCGCCCAGATCTTAAGTAAGTGTGACCTCAGGCCTTGCACACTTGGGTGAGATTTAGAGCATATCTGTATCTATTATTTTGATCACCAGTCATAATTTAGCGCATGAAGGTCTGCAGATGCTGAGCACCGTTCTACGGATAAAAAAAGTCATGAAAATTCGTCTGAAGCAAGTTTTGGACAATTTTGGACCTTGCGCAGGAGCTTAGTCTTATTGAAAGGTCCAATGTTGATTTTCGGAGGGTCCAGGGTACAGATTATTAACGTTTGGCTCTAGGACACTCTGAAAATAATTCTTGGCTCCAACTTTTACCCTTTGCGGTAAAAAACAGAGATTTCCTTTCTCCAGCCAACTTGCTCCCATGGACACCACGGTGATGACTTCGTATTGACTTCCGCATACTTAAACGGATGTCAGACTTCCGTAGAACAAATATCTGGCCATTTCTTCTATTAAATTTTTCGCCAACGCTGAAAAGTCTGAAATACTTTTGGCACGAAAATTGGCGCGTACCACGATCGAGCAGTGGCCGTCACAAGTTATGTCTTATCTAAAAGCCCTTGGACGAAATCTTGACAAAGAAGTTATGATTTCTAAACAATATTAATACCTTGTTAATCCATAAAAATTTCGAACCGATAGCTTTAATACTTTGATATTTATCACCGGAAATGCATTCACGGGAACTTATGACCCCACTATGTAGTTGAAAAATGGAGTCGATGTCTTCCTCACGAATGGCATGGATTAAGTGGTATCTTGCCTGCGGATATAACAAGTTGGATTCGGATTGCTCATCGTATGCCATCGCTGGCAGGACTACGATTTCGCTCAAATTGAGGTGACGCTTGGCAATAACGGCGAGTACGGATACGAGGCGGCAGTGGTTTACCTGTTTCTCTACTTCACCCCTGTAAGACAGGGACGGTTAAGAGATGCCATGTTAAATATATCATCGTAAAATAACTTGTTCTTGGCTGGATCTCTTTCTTTTTTCAGGTTGGCTGATTTGAAGAGAATCTGAAACAGGTGGAAATAGTAATAGGAAAATGGTACCGCGAAGGTGTCATTTAATTGTTGTAGAGGTTGTTGTAATAGAACACTGTAGATGTACCAGGATGATGGAAATTCTGTTTTATAGCTATGTCCAGCAGGATTCGAACTCGTTCTCATTTTCTTATTGTCATCTAATTCAAAGAGTGTGCCAATTATCAAGGGTACCGTGATTCGTAGGTTTCCAGGTTCATGTACAAATTTTGTGCGTAGTTTGAACTTTATCTCGTCCCAGAGGTCGGCCTTCGTGTACAGAAAGACAAAAACGTAGCTCCTTTGGTTGAGTGCGTCGCTGGAAACTTGAACCTGCTCGTATGTTGAATTCCAGTCCATATTGATGTAATAATGAAAATTGCAAGGGTTTCTAAAAGTCAAAGATCTAAGAAACAATATTTAGGTCAAAAAATCCTGGTATTACATTAGAAAAAAAGTGTCCATTGGTTTGGTTGCTCAATTTAGCTTACCTTTTGCGGTTAAGTTTATACACGTCAGCAACATTATACGTTTCAGTAGCTGCTTTTCCACCTGCAGTCCACAATATTGACGGTGATTTTATAAGAATGCGTATTACAAGTTTCTGACTATTTTCAGCGTTAGTTTTCATTGGTGTTGATATGTCTTGAAAACATTCGGTCATAGATGTTTTTATTCTTGTAGTAATTAGAAATAGAGCAAGAAACCGTAATTGCAACATTTCTGAATTATATTTTTGCTCTATAATTAACGATTTTATTTATACATATACAGTCAGGTTTAGAAAATGCACTAGTGTCTGTCCTTCATATATTTCTAGAAATTTTACCCTTACAGATTCCCTTAGAAAAATGAAATATGATAGAAATTATATTTGTACTGGAAATATATGATCAAGCGGTTATAATTCTGAAAACGGATTTAGGTACAGCGGTTATGAATAACATACTCCGAATAAGTTACAAATCATGCGTCCCAACCTTATCGGGATTCTGTATTGTACCCCTGATATAAATGGTGGACTACCTAAACTTGTTGGAAAAGATGAGGTCTTATTCATATATTTGAGCTTCTCATGTAAGTGTTTGCATACACTTAAAATCTAATTTGTTGAAAGTGGTACAACATATAAAGCTTGGATACTGTTCGGATGTCACGTGTAAGTACACATCAATTTTTAAACGAGGCAAACATGTTCTGAATTTCGTATCATGGAATATTTTAGAAAACATGTAAGCCCACAAGTCACAGTCACGCAACGTTTTTATTAATCTATATATTTAAATTATTCAGTGAAGGTGAATATAGTTGGTTTTAGTGATCCATATGGTTGAATGGGAAAAATAATGATACTGTTCAAATTTCGAAAGAACAGATACATAAGTCTGAAATTTAAACAGGTATTTGCAACCAAATAGCTTTAATATCCCTAAGCACTAGTTTGACACAAGAAATGTGCATCCCCCACAATTTACTAATGTAAATTTAAAAGCTCGCAATGAAGACATTCTATATCAACGCTTAAAAAATAAGTAATTTTTTTCGACGCATTTATTTAATTAAAACAATGTTTTTGGTAATATGTATGTACACATATATAGATTTAAGGATACTGTAAAACAACTAAACCACATAATGAATTAAATGACAAATACACAAAATATGTATGTATCAGTATTTAGTAATTGGTAAATATCTCATCGAAAATTAAGTAAGTAAACAAAACTCAAAACTACTAATCGCCTATAATTTTAAATTTGCACTGATTGTTGACCCGCTTTTGTGACAGATTGTTTTAAATTATGCATTGCACCATGTAAACTAACCAACATGTAAAATGTTACATTGTAAAATAGTATTTAACTTGATTTTGTACTATATATTAAATTGTTGGACATGGTTGGAATGCTTTGCTGGGTGTAATTATTAAATCATTAAGCCCACTAGGCAATTATGTACTCCACTTTGTCACTTGTATGCATGTTAAAATTGTTACTTTGTCACCCTGTTCAAAGTCAGACTCAATCTCTTGCTAAATAGATGTTTGAAGTCATTAGAGACCAAGCTAAATCCTTATCGTTTTTTTGTCTCTTGATATCTATCTCAATTTATCGCACGCGGTGTACACGTAGCAGAACAATGATCTCCGACTCGTGAAACGTACGATTAAAACGTATCTCTACGTACATAGATACATGCATAAAAACCCAAATTTAACCAGCAAACAGGCTATATGATCATGCATATATCTATCCACTGGGTGAGGAGATATTAGATAACGTAATAGTGATAACAATGATTAGAACTGAGCAGAGTAAGATAGGCACACAACTCTCGTCATTTGCATATCTTCACAATGAGGAGATACATATATATATGCTGCATACATAAGTGTATTTTGTAATACTGCGCAGTTTGTTATACTAAACAGGACGACGTCCAAAGCAAGCAAAGCGAAATAGTATACAAATTAACCGTTGAAATGGATCGTACCCTCGTGAATGGTGATATTAGACCCTTGGTGAAAATTTTAGAGGAGGACCCAGAAATCTTCAACCGAATTGATACAGTCATGACTGTATTTGGCGTGCCCCCTGCTGAGAAAATAACAATGACGAAGCGATACGACATGGGGGTCTTGAGTGGAGGTGACTGTCTAACGAAAATTTTGGAAATTTGGATATCTAAAAATGCTGACGCCACGTTTCTCAAGTTAATCCAAATTTTAAAAAACGCGTACTTCATGTGTAGTGCAGGTATGTAGGAAATAATCATGATTATACGGTGTGTCCCAAAAGTTTCTGCAACAGATTAAGATTACTTATCCACGTATATATGTATGTATGTATGACTTGTGTGAATGATTACCGATAAGGTATTGCTCAAGATTGAACGGTGGAAATTAATAATCGCTCCAGAATACTTGGAGTTTTAGTCCCAATTTTTTCATAGCTGGTCATTTTGCGCATGACCAGGTATGAAAAAAAAATGTTTCAAAAATGGCTCTACCACAGATCCCAGAACACGCGTGAAATTTGCTATAATTTTTTGATGTTTTCACCTTATTGATTCAAATTCTATAACAAATCAATAAAAATTTTCAGAGTGATAAGAATATAAAGAAGTACAAAATTTATACATTTTTGGTAAACTTTATTCCCCATTCATGTTGTCACGTGTGTATTTATCAGGTCTTGTTGAAATTTTACATTAGAAATGACTAAATGCTATATTTTTTCTGATACATTTTTATATCTTCTAAACTTTAAGACCAAATTACAACTTTCAAATGCCGTTTATTATTTAGTAAGTATGTATACTGAGAATACTAACCACCTGTATTTATGACGCTAAGTATTGAAATTACCAAAAATTACAAAAAATACATAACAATTTACTTTTCATAGGAAGGATTCAAGAAATAGACGCAAACCATCTCTCCGTCTCTGCTCATGGTGTAGAAGAAGCTCATCGACGTACTAGAATCTGGCCAAAAAACATTCCAAAAATTCCAAACTTTATCGGACGGGAGGATGAATTGCGCCAACTCCACGACGAATATGACCGTCACCGCGACGATGGGTATCACCCCACGATCGTGTACATCCATGGAATAGGAGGCATTGGAAAGACCTCCCTCGCAGTAAAATTCTGTTACAATATTATAAAGAAATTCCCCCGTACCAACTGCGTCTTTCTCGACGTGGAATCTATTCATGAGCGTTTAATTCGTCATAGATCAGATTTTGTTAGCGAACTGAAGGAAAGCGGTATAGAAATAGAGCCGGGCGACAAAAGCGTGGTGGACGTTGCGAACAAAATTTTAAACAAAATGGGACCCTCAATTATCCTAGTTTTAGAAAATGCTAGCCCTGATTGTACTCATGTTTCAGACCTTTTAAGAGACATCATAAATTGCCAGAATTTTGATATGTTCGTGGTTGTCAACAGTCGTGGGAGTAATTTTAGCTTCCCTGGTAAATCCATCGCTTTGAATACATTTTCTGATGAGAATGGCTGGGAATACGCACATTTTCTTCTTCCGAGAAAAAATAAGGCTGATATTGTAGCCCTGTGCAATATAGTTGATAACATTCCACTCGCTATCTCCACAGTTTTAGCTTGTTTTAAAATGGAGAGGTGCGGATCCTTGGTCCTATTCAACAAAACATTTAAATCTGATATGGACAAAAGAATCGCGTATTACAGAACATCACAGGTAGATTCCACCTCGTACGATGGCAATATTTACGCCGTTATTGCTCATACGCTTGATCTTATAACGAAGCAGGATAGTGGCATGCATGTTAAAACAATTTTGTCATTTTTGATTTGCTTAAGACCCACGAAAGTTATGAGACGTGAAGATCTTCAGAATTTTTTTCTTGCCGTTGCTGAAGGCGTAGTAGATCCGGAAATTGAATTTGACAAGGCATTAGCTACTCTAGAAAATTACTCCCTTTTCGTAAGTGATTCCGACGAAACGAACTTAGTCATGCATGACGTTATCTTCCATGTCGTGCTGCATCACTTTGGCTGGCACGTGGAAGAGGATCATCTCCTCTTCCACGTTCCACGTCAGGTATTTCAACTTTTGGGAAATAACTTCAGCAAATTGTCACCAAGGAATCAAGCAACTTTTGCTATATTCGTGTTAAATAGAATGAGAAATAATAAGTGTGTTGGTGTTTATAGGTTTGGTTCACTTGTAATTCAAATGTAATGGCTAAAATTGGGAATCAATAAAGACGACCTTTTTTTGTGTGTGAATAATATGGTGGACTTATCAAATAAATAGGCAGGGAACAAACTGGGTTTACTAATTTAAAATTGATGTGTTTACTTGGTCAAATGGGGTTTAAGTTTATACATTAGAATTATTTCTGGTCATATGAAAGAATAGCCAATTGAGAGAATACTGTTGACTGGTCGGAAGCTAAATCATGACTCCTCGAGGGAGAGCTCTGTCTTCTCAAATTACAGATTGGTACAAGGAAGGGAGCAAACATGGCATATGAAAATCATGACATAAGTACATACACGTTTTACATACTCATGGTTAAACGTTATTAACACCGCCCACCTTGTAATATCTCGTTACAAAAATGAACCCGTAAAATAGAGTTGAAAGACCAAAAATTGAAAATTGATTGCATGATAATTGTATAAAAAATAATACAGTAATGACGTAGTGACAAGCTTGACACCTCAACCTCATTGCAGTCCGATTCGAATGTTCTTGCATAACCGAACTGTCTAGGAGTTTAGTCCCACGCCGGAATATGGAACATCGAAATCAAACGTGCAGGTTCGGCGTTGGAGTCGTCTTGTAACTAGAAAATAAGAAACTCAGTTAAATGAAATTAAAAGGATGAATTGTCATTGCATGGTAAAATTGGACTTAGTTTAACAACAGGGCGTTTCAATTCGGTTTTTGATGTCTTTACGGTGACGACTCTGACTAGGCCGTCTGCGCCTGGATGGACATCGGTGACTCGAGCTAGTCTCCACTTGGCTGGGGGAAGATCGTCGTCATGAACAAGAACAAGGTCATCTATTTGCAAATTGTTTCGTTTTTGCGCCCACTTAAATCTTTGTTGTAGAGTCTGGAGATATTCGTTTCGCCATCTCTTCCAGAAATGCTGGGTCATGTGCTGAATATGTTGCCACCTTGATAATCGGCTGGTGTTGATTTGAGTGACGTCTGGGTCTGCGATGGAGTTAAGTGGTCGTCCGATGAGGAAATGACCAGGGGTTAAGACTTGCAAGTCTCCTGGATCTGGTGACATTGCACAGAGAGGACGGGAATTTAGGATGGATTCCATTTGACATAGATGATTCGCATGTCAACTTCGTCAGCCTCTTCTACCGCCTTGTCCATTTGGTCGTCTGTTGTTGTGAGCTCAAACATCTTCTCGTTAAGGTCCTTAACCTTCGTGTCAAGCTTTTCCATGGAGGTTATAAGCTCGTCGACTTCATCCATTGTGAGGACCCTCGTCGGCGCTTCATGCCTGTCGATGGTTGCACTTATTTTGGTGAGTTGACCTTTGTGGCCACCTCTCTTCTTCTCAATATTGTCCATTGTCACAAAGTTTATCACCAACAACTTATAGCACTCACTCACTTAGTTTTTTAGGTAACAATTATCACTCGGTAAGTCACAGAGATAACTGCCGGCGATGTAATTGCCGATCCGGTTCGCGAGACCAATAAATAGAATGAGAAATAATAAGTGTGTTGGTGTTTATGGGTGGAATGATAACTTGTGTGTGAATAATATGGTGGACTTATCAAATAAATAGGCAGGGAACAAACTGGGTTTACTAATTTAAAATTGATGTGTTTACTTGGTCAAATGGGGTTTAAGTTTATACATTAGAATTATTTCTGATCATATGAAAGAATAGCCAATTGAGAGTATACTGTTGACTGGTCGGAATCTAAATCATGACTCCTCGAGGGAGAGCTCTGTCTTCTCAAATTACAGATTGGTACAAGGAAGGGAGCAAACATGGCATATGAAAATCATGACATAAGTACATACACGTTTTACATACTCATGGTTAAACGTTATTAACACGTGTATATATGGAAATACCACTTTGCACATGATTATATATTTAAGCCACATTCGACATTCACTCGCTGGATATTATTGAATGTTTGTCTGTCTTTGCCAAATTTAATAAATGGGTATGTTTATCACGCGTGGATGGGTAATGATATGAAGTCATTAGGTTTACTATATGTGTTGATTATAATCCCTATCACAATACTGGGACTCTTTTTTTTATCATGGATACAGAAAAGTTATACTCTGGCTACGAGTTTATTAGATGAATATTTGAAATATTTCAAGTATTCAGTTTTATTTTCAGTTTTGTGTATGGCGTGGTTAATTTGGAAATTGTTAAGAGTTGTCGAAATCTTGGAATATCATGACTCCGTATATCATTGTGTGAACGCTATAATGGCAAATAGTGTTGTATTTGCTGCAATTTGCCGAATGTGGCTACACGTGGATAACCGCAATGAATGGCAGAACTTATCGAAGCGTGTCTAACTTAAGCGTAGCTTTGGGTAATAGGAATAATACTAATAAGTATGTATGGGATACAGATCTAATTCTACTTAATTTGGTAAAAAGTTGGTTTGTGACCAAATATAATATATTAATGTGGGATGGTTAGAATTGACATAATTATGAAGGTGAATATGTGCAGTGGTATTATGTGTGCGTACGAACTTGATAGTAGTTCCGAAACACTTTGAAGGTCAAGACCTGTGAAATTATTGCCCAACCGGTACGGTGACATATTTATTGTTTGAAGCCACGCATTGCACCTTGTACGGCGACACATGGTTCTTCGGAAAGACGTAGTTTCGGTAGCTCTCTTACAATGCGCTGGTGTGAAGTGTAACCCTCCGATGTGTTTGAGATTTCGAAATTATGTGGTCCATGTCAATACAACCAACGTTTCTTGAGGTACTTTGTGCGATGGTGGGAATTTGTCAAAACATTTGAGGTCAAATAAAAAAATGTGCAATTTTTACGGGAAGAGAATGGAATAGCCCCTCTGCCTAGTAGAAATCATCTGTTTTTCAACTTTGCCCTTAAATATCTTGACAAATTCCGACCATCTTATAAACTGCCTGAAGAAACGATGGTTTTCTTTACATGGACCACCTAATTTCAAAATTTGAACCAAATCGGAGGGCTACACTTCACACCATCGCATTGTAAGTGCAAATGCTGTCAGTTTGAATCAAATGGTACGTAAATGAATACTATTGTTAAACGTAAGTAACACGTTAAATATAACAGTGGCACAAAATTATTTAGAATGTGTGCTGCAAACAATTATATAGGTTTGTGTGTAAAGTTATTGATAGCTAAACTTAATCTGTTAAATATGTAAGCTACGTCTACGACTTCTGTTTGGAATATGTACATATGTTTTATGAAATAAATTTATAAAGACGAGAATCCATCTATTCCTGAAAGATGTATGCACTCTTAGAAACTCTTAGAAACCACGCGGTACAGTCACGTATCAATACCAACGGTATCAATACCATCTATAATCAATGGTGCGTGATTTTTTTGTACCAATACGAGGTATAATAAACTAAATTTTTGTGCAAGGTTTAAAAATTTTAAAGGAAACGGGTTAATTTTTTGGGTGAACGGTATAGGGATCCCCTCCCATCATCTTTTGTGACAAATCAATACGAAATTATCGTATTACAGATATTTTCTCTCTCAAATTTTCAACTTATCAGACACAAATATTTGAGATAGAGAGAATTAAAAGTGAATTTCATTAAATTTGTGAATCCATCAATGTACTTATGTACAATATATTTGTCATGCTAAAGTACGTGACTCTGTAAGCACCATATGGTCGATTGGAGGTGTAACGTGTGGATCAAGGCGTCCTCTGATTTTCAAGATAACAATTGAACAATGGAGGTAAAAGTTCTCCGGAAACCGATCACATCCTTTACGTACGGCCCTTACCAGCTCTAAATTAGTTACGTGCCAAAAACCTCGTATGTACGATAATGAGAGGCATCATCACCCACTTATTATCACTCTGGTAATTAAATTCGTCTCACGTTTCATGCAAATTTCTACTGCAAACAAAATTTAGTTGGTATGAAATGTATGTGTGCTTTGGACATAATTCATCAGTATATTTTTTGTGTTGGAGGAAATCTAAGGAGAGGAAAGTTTGGAGATTTTTTTCCACGAAAGAATATTTTACAAAATGTCACGGAATTATTCCCTTTCGCATGTTCATTACCCGCAAAATGTGGAGAGTTATGAACCCGTGTATCCGAGGAGGTCGATTCCACCAGCGAGTAGAATTTTACCAGCGGAGGAGATTGGAATTGCGAACATTACGCGATTCAAGGACAGGTTCAATGTCAAATTGGATGTGCATTTATTTCGGTAAGAAAGACATGCTTCTTCGTAAACTTTGTAACTATATAAAATTAAGATCAATCATAAAAAACGCTTCCGTAAAATATATACACTGTAAAGCATCCGGTAGAGTCACATATGTACTCCGGGCTGGTATTGATTTGGTAATAATTCATTATTGAGTGGTTATAGTTCGATTCTGAGTGATAACGATTTCATTACCACCACATTTCTACGCCGTAACGATCGATATTACCGATGCTGGTAGAGTCATACACACTAGGGAGCAAAATTGTTCGGACATGTTTCTCATGATCATATCTCATACATTTACTGACAAATCAATTTGAAATTTGGCACAGTTATACCCAATCGCATTTGTGGGAAGATAAGACTCCAAATTTGAAACAGCTTCGACCAGGTCAAAGGTTATGACTTTTTGACCTAAAACTCCAAAAGTCAGCTACATCAAAGAATTTTTTTCCTTGGTGGTTCTATTTTTGTAAAGTTGGGGCAACTCAACCTGAGCATTTTGATATGTGTTGCACCTCTGTGCGATTTTTTTTACGCCCACAGTGATTTTTTGAAAAGTGCACTTTTGAAAAGTTATAACATTGGGCTTATGGGGGAAAATCTCAAAAGTGCACTTTTCAAAAAATCACTGTGGGCGTAAAAAAAATCGCACAGAGGTGCAACACATATCAAAATGCTCAGGATGAGTTGCCCCAACTTTACAAAAAATGAACCACCAAGGAAAAAATTTCTTTAATGTAGCTGACTTTTGGAGTTTTAGGTCAAAAAATCATAACCTTTGACCTGGTCGAAGCTGTTTCAAATTTGGAGTCATATCTTCCCACAAATGCGATTGGTTATATCTGTGCCAAATTTCAAATTGATTTGTCAGTAAATGTATGAGATATGATCATGAGAAACATGTCCGAACAATTTTGCTCCCTAGTGAATGTACTCCGTCCAGTAATGATTCGTAATAATTCAATACCAATTGCCTAAGAGTGTACATAGGTACAGTAACACACGCACATACATAAATAGATTATTGCTCATGCAAATTCATGTTCTTAACTTTGAAAACTTACGAAGATGTCAAACATAATACAATACTTACTTACACCCACTTTTGCATGGAAATTTGTCCAATATGTAGTGTTTAAGTTAAAATTGCCATAATTACCGGCGTTAAATATTCAAGGTTTGCAAAATACGGCGTGAATTTAAATAAAAATTGTGTTTTATTGTGAAGCCTAAATTTCTGCTTTTTTTGTGAATATATGTACATATATGTATCACCAATTTTTACATATCTTTATAACTTTACACATTGTATAGATTATTTGCAAAAGAAGGAAATGTTCGTACTTACAAAACTTGTAATTGCATTTGAAATTATTTTCAAAATTCGGTCAAAACCTAAAAAATTAAGCATGTTTTTCTTCATTTTTTCAGTCCTAGTGATATCAGCGTGAAGACGTTGGACGATTACGTGATCGTGGAGGGAAATCATTCTTCCGACGGGGAGGATGTCACGCGGTCATTTCAGAGGAGGATTAAACTTCCGGGTGACGCCCTGGTCGATCACCTTACCTCCGATATCGGGTGCGATGGCTACCTCGTTATAAATGTGCCTCTTGCTCCCAAAAAAGCAGAGGGCGACGAGCAGGACGGAAAGTTTTATAAAGTTACACATGCGCTCGGATCGTTTCTACATTTGCCGAATTGGTCCCAGTCGTTCCAAGTGGGACAGGAAACTTCCGGCGTTGCTGTGACGAAGGATAAGTTCACGGTGAGATGATAAATAAATAATTTGTAAATTATGGTTCATAAAGTTTTTGAATTTATATATTTTTTAAATTTTGGAAACATTTATTGAGGACAATTACGAAAACTCCTTTGTAAGTTTGTAAAATCCATAAGTTTTGCAACATCGTTTTACAAAGTTCTTCAAGTCAAAAGCACCTCTGATTTGAGTAAAACTTGCAAAGTAATTTTGCACACATACAAATATTTATAATCCTAAATGTAGAATACACGAATTTTACAAAGTTACAAACGCCTGCGTGAATCCCTTAAATACTGTGAAGTTTTTAAAGTATTTATTTGTAAAACTTTGTCAGATAACATACTTATTCGAATTTCAGTAAAAATCAGTCTGAAAATGGCCTCAATTATGGAAAACTGCAATTTTTAAAAAATAATTATCTTGACATTTTAAGGTCTCCCTTGGAATTGGGAACTATCAACCGGAGCAAATTTGCGTTAAAACGGTGGACGACGTTGTTATCATAGAAGGTTCGGCGGAGGAAGAAATATCTCCGACCGAAAGTGGAGGTGGATCCCGGAGCGGAAGTTTAGTGAAGGCGACCTTCACCCGAAAGTATGCCCTCCCCCTGAACGCGGATCGGGACGGGGTGCGTTGCGAGTACCGACAGCGACAAGACGGCACCGAGTCCACGCTTAAAGTGATTATTCCACGAATTTCTGCTGGTGACAGTCAAGCCGTGCAGGAGCATAAGATTAACGTCGTCTGAACATTCTGTATTATGCATTAATAAATAGAAAATTGCTAGTTTAAGCCAAGTACTCAGGACGGATTTTTCACGCGAGACGGCAGATTTTGTATTAAATTTTTCATTGGATTTTTGTTATATTATTTCGTTAGCTATTTCAACCTTATTATTCACTTAAAATTAATAATGGAAATTACAAATATGCATTAAATCATACAACTAAAGAATAACCTGAAATGATGATTTGACTTAATATCGCTGTAATTTCTTGAATTTTTCTCGATTGTTTCTTGAAATCAATTGTAAAATGGTACTTTCTACTTCCCAGGTTTGCTAAAATGTTTCACGTATACATATAAAACTCCGTCCTGAGTACTAGCCTTAAATTTATTTGGTACTTCAAGAATAAATTGTATACATAATTTCATTCGTTCTTTTATGCACATCATTTATTATTGAATTTTATCTGACAAAATTACAATTAGTGCTACAACTGTAATGTGCATAGAGCAACAGTAGTGTATAAATTTTTAGTAAAATAATTAATTAAAAAAATAAAAAAATAATAATAATAATAAAATAATAAAAATAATTAAATAAAAATACTTTAACTTTGGTATTAATAAAATGTCTTAGCAGTTACAAGATTTTAAGAGGCAAATAATTTTTTTTACCCAGATATATTATGGCAAATAAAGATTGAAATTTTGCACTTGATTGCTCCCACACGACATGCAATTTGTCCCACCTCAAACCGACATGTTTTAAGTTTGTATTTAATCCATTCACAAATGAATGCCATTATTGCGACACTTAAACCACCTGCACACAGCCCAATGATGCCTTGTAACGCCGATACAGAGGCTGGTTTCCCCTCTTCAAACAGTATGTCCTTCTTTTTCTTGAAAAATCCCATAATAACTAACTTTCGGTGTATCTCCTTCGACGTTTTACTTTCACTATATTTGATAAGATTTTTTATATTTTCAAATTCTTGCCACAATTTATGCAGACCTGACTGAGCCAATTGGCCAAAACTTTGGGATATTACGGAATTCATAAAGCCACGAGTAATAAGTAGAGGTCGGTTTAGAAAAATATTGGTGGCTCTGTATGTCTGACAATGTATGGGTCTCTCTTCACGCCCATCCCCGCCAACATTTCTTCCAACTGGAGCTCCACATTTATAACTGCAAATTTATCCTTAACCTTCTTAAACCCATTATCTTCAAAGTCTACATCCCATCCTTCAGAAATATTGAGACCGGTGACAAATTCAGACTAATTATGAACAAAACTTATCTTGGCCTTCAGGTCGGTCAAAGTTCTGTATAGCTCTGTATAATTGTAAGATGAGGTAATTACTTCGTCAAGCATCCAATTCTTTAACATAGACACTGCTACTCTGCCAGCAAGATAAATGCGGCTGGTTGTAATAATTTTAATTTTCGATTCAACAACGGATTCCATTGTTACAGGAATCCTTGGTGGGATAAGAGCTACCAGTGAGGAGAACATGCAACCTTGATAAAACACAGTTCCCAAGAGAAAGAAGGAAAATAAGCAAAGAACAACAAATACTGAGAAGTTAGATACAAGCCGCAAAGTAGCAGGAGTTCCATGGAGCTGCCCAAAGAGGGAGGATAAAATCCACTGCCAGGACTGGATAAAGTACTCAATTCCTTTTCTGAACTTCCCATTTTTCAAACTTCCAGTTTTTAACCCATAAGTTGCCAGGAGCATAGCTATTAGCGTGAAAGATTGTCCTGATGTCGCCCACGTGAACTTGTCGAGGGGCATGAAGATAGCTTTTAAGTCGTCCAAAGTAGGGTTTCTAAAAGACACTGTTGCCATTTTAAACTGATATCTGCGCCCACAATGAGGCAGCCAAGAATATTTAGCAGACGCAGGATATAAAATATTCGAATTAGTAAATGATTCATCAGCAAGAACGTTGTAATCTATCTTAAAACTATAATCATACGGAGTACGACCGTAGAAATCCCGAAGAGCTCCGGTTATCCAGACGTCGCTAAAGTTAAACTTGGCCCCCAATGCCAGTTGGGTACATGTTTGATACTCCGAAAATGTTTTGCCACCTCGCTGAGTTGCGCTGCATGTCTGATCTCTCGGATCAAACTTTAGTGCACCTGAGCCTATTCGCATTCCTTGCATGTCGGAATTGTGTAATCTCCAAGAGGAATCAAGGACTGCAGAGTTTTCCCTAACTGTTTCTTTTAATTCAATCAAAGGAAATATGCCACAAGCAAAGCAAACAACAGAAATTTGGAGCGATTCTGTGCTGTCTTGAAGTACAAATAATTTAGATGTTGATGCTGCATCTGGGGATATTTTGAACGTTTCGTGGTTTATCACGCTTAAAACGAGAAAATTATAGGTTGGATTTTCCCCACAGTAACTTAATCTTTCCCTGGTTTGGATGAAATCTTTGTGCTCAGATTCTGTCTCCAGTTGGTGCAGAAAAATAAATGAAATGAGACTAACCGAGTGACCAAAATATTTGGAAAAGATGTATTCATTTTTTCGACAAGACCCATAATATGAATTGGTGTAGATGCTTTGATTCAGTCGAACGTGGCGCGATACTTTGGGCAAGTTTTGGTTTCGTAAGAGAAATTTGTCGAGATGGGCTTCCCAAGATTTTTCGGTTTCCACAGTGAAATCACCTATTACATGAATGATTGATCGTGAAGGGAATAAGCTGCCCATTTGTTGCAACTTGAATGTGGAGGATATCGAGATGACGCTAATTATAAGAAGTAAACTTAAAAAATAATGTTGGTTTGTCATAGTGTAGAAATTAATTAGATGTTTGGTATGAAATATGAAAATCCGTTCAATATTTTCAGATAACTTAATTCTCAGACAGGTTAAGATGGAATGAAATAGAATATTTAAAAGTCTTCAAGTAATCCTCACCATCCTCTTTTAGTGCTCACGCTTAGGAAGAAAGTTAATATAAATAATTTATAAGTATGTTTCACACGTAAGTATTCAAACGAACATGCAATCATATTATTTTTGGAATCCAACTTTTCGACATATGTATCTGTGTTTCCAGTGTACAAATTGAAATGTTCCAGGTAAATATTTTTTCCACACAACTAAACGGAAGTGGAGTTATGCAAAGTTGTACAGATATGCTAGGATCCCATCAACTGATTGTTGTTGCTAGACATTGCGTGCAAAAAAAATTGTTGTAAAAAAAATTAAAATCTAAAGAAGATAAGTCATACGTATGAAGGCTAGCGTGGTTGTTTATGGCCAAGTAATAGCAAAAAAATTTGCTTTGTATAACGTCGAGCTTGCAACTTCCACTCCCCCTTTTATAAGTGCAAATATAGCTGAAATTATTCTTGTTTTATTTCGTTGCTCAATCTTTGTTTGAAACGTAGAGTATATTTATATGAAAAAATGATGAAATGACAATGATGAAAAAAGGAAGACATTCAAAGTAGAACGGTTTAAATTATTCCGGAAGTCATGTCCACGCATCAAGAATCGATTGGCCAATTATGTACATAGAATTATTTAGTTTGCGTATTTATATACAAATTGTATAATACAATTTTTCGTTCATTCCTCATTCCTTTGTATATAAATATACAAATTTTCTATTTAATATCCTAGTTTGCACGATTTGAGAGGACAGCTTTTAAATAAAATTTATTAATAGGTTTGAGACGTGTGCGAGACGTGGTGGTGTGAGGTTGCTCTATCTTCTACTCTCCTCGACTGTATAAGTGGGCGTATTTAATTAATTAAGAAATTAATCACTGTTTGAAAATTTGGAATTGTTATCTTGTGGATAATATACTACGAAACTGTTTGTACATTTCCAACTGTGTTATCGATTTTGGATTTTAGATTTTCATAAAAGCTGGTGAGAAATGTATCCCATTAAAACCTGTTAATACGTTGAATATTTATGTATCTATATAACTGTATTCGAAAATTATTATCAAACTGTTGTATTGTGAAAAACTGTTGTCAACTATGTCACCTCACTTCAATCTTCCCTGGCTGCCGTCCTACAAACCGCGATAAATTTTTGGGTGTGGCGGGGATAGGGACGCCTTTCCTTCCACACCTCGACCTTGAGGGGACGCCCAATGGGTCACCCGCTGGGAACCATCGGGTCTCTGGGGACGCCTGGTCGCACCCATGGAACCTGGCATGCATCATACCTGTCGGAAGCTGGGGGTGGATCATTCTCAATTGTTGGGATTCTGACTCACCATGTCTGGAATGTGCAACCTAACACCGTCTGAATTGCGCCTACCCCTACGTAGATACATACATACTTAACCTACATGAATATGTATTCTAGCAAAATGTGATTTGTACCGACATTATGAGCAACTTCGCACCACCACGTCACTTCGTTGAGAATAAGAATTGGACTTTAGCTATAATTAAAGCACACGTCTCCGGTTACGCTGTTGTATATATTACGTTGTAATATTATAACATTTAACATCTCGTAACTGTACGTAGGATTGTGATATGAAACTTGACGTAACGATATGTAACTTGTTTTATTTTGTCAAAATGTTACAAGAATATGTAGAGGGGGATTTATTCCCAAATTTTGTCAAAATGTTATAAGAATATGCAGAGGGGGATTTATTCCCAAATTTCGTCACAACGTTATAAGAATATGCAGAGGGGGATTTATTCCCAAATTTTGTCACATGGTTATATACTTTATTTTGTCATGTAACTTTATGGGCATTGCGCCTGAAAAAGTTCAGTGAATAAATTATATATACATACATACATACATACATATTAATAGGTTTCGGACCTTCGTGATCCTTCGTTAAGTCAAAGGATTGCATAAAATATTTAGTGAAATATAATTTCAGATCATTGGTTTAAAATTATTTGCTTTTCTTACTACGAAATATGTACAAACGTCGTCATTTAGACAGACCTGGAATACTTATGTCGTCTACATAATAAGCCGTGTAGCATGGAAAGGATGAAAAATAAATTTATTACTGGTTCAATGTGAATTTGGCGAAGTTTGTGGCGAATTTCTACAGAGATATATATGTACATATGTAGTAGAAACCTCCAATTCCGAGTTCTTGCAGTCGGTGACAAAGCTTCGCAAAATATATCTCCGGAGATAATGCTTATATGCTAGTGGTGGTAGAATATATTTACAAATTGCATAATATATATTTATTTTCAATATTTAAGAATTGCTTCAACTAGCATACAAAAAACTATGAATTTATGAATATAAGATTTTTTAATCACAGCTCGGAGCTCCAGAGTTTTTACTACGTTTTTAGTTTTACAATTTGTGAAGAATTGCAGGAACTGCTCAAACTCAGAATTCATAAGAATTGCAACATGCGACAAATAATCTTGTAAAAAAAAATTACGCATTTTTAATCGTAGAACCATAACCCATATTGTATTTGCAAACGTCGTCATTTAAGCAGACCTA